GGGGCATCGGCACGAGCAGCAGCAGCAGGGGTGGAGCCATGGGTAGAGGCTGGTCCAGCAGCAAATAGTAAGCTTTTTACACAGACATATATAGACACAGAACAAATAAGGAAAGACAGACCAGTGCATGCTTAAATGGACTATCAGGGATACCTGCTGTAAATATGTGGATACACCACTGTATCGTCTTGTGCATGCTCACCCTTCCTCACACAGTACACTGATAAATGAATATTATTGAATTTATCCTCAAAGCTAACTGGTTCAATATAAAGCTGTCAATACCAGCAAGATTAGATTAGTCACAACAGAGTAGCTCTACAACTGTACACAGACCCTACACACCTTTTTTAAACAGCTGAGGTTTTTCTACTGAAGGCACAAAGTGATAGCCTGTTAAAATATGCGCAAGAGTTATGAATCATGTAAAGCGAGGCCCCAGGAAAAAAGGAGCTCTCTCTCTTGTAAGGTCATTTGCTGCACAGGCTCATCTGGGCTCTAATTGAATTAAGCAGGCCTCGGGGGGCCCCAGGCTAACCTGAGCGCTAATCTGTGGGCCATTATTTCCTGTTAACAGCACGCTCCCTCTCTCCTTCTCCTCACCCTCCTCCCTCCCTGTCTGCCAGCCCAAAGCATATGTGCTTTAAAAGTTCACTCACTTCAAACCTGGGCTGCAGTCTCCTGCAGGGATTGATCTTAAAAATAGAATGAGGCTGATTTTTGTTTGTTTGTTTTTCGGGGTTACGTGATGAAGATGATGGCTTTAAGGCTCCATGGAGCAGAGAGAGGGCATGTTTCTTAAGAGGTTTTATGATGATAGCCATTGGAATTTCAAATCAAAGCGTTCTGGTCTGTGTGCTAAAGTGAGTTTATTTGTTCAATTCTTTTTGCAGTGCGTTCTAAAAGGTGTTTTAACAAAGTATATCACTAAGCATCTTTGACTTTTACAGCTTTAACAAAGCTTGAACCAGTTTTCATCTGTACATAAATATCAGTTTGAAGAAGATGCCAAAATAAATATTCACAAAATATTCTCTTGTTAATCTTAATGTAATTATCCTAGTGGACTTACTTTCCTGTCCTTGATATATACAGTAGGTCTGGTTTAAAATAGAGATTTTCTGATGAGCTGTGCTTCTTATTCAGTTGATTCAGTATTGATTCCTGAAATTTACCATATTAAACAACTACACTAAATGTCAGATGTATGCAGAGATTGTTTGTTATATGCAGTTCAGATCAGACTGCATGTTATGTAAAATGTCTTCTCTGTCAAAAACAAGTTGTTATAATGCGCACAAAAAGGCTATTTTAAAAAAAAAAAAAAAAAAAAAAAAAAAGATAGCTGCCTATATTAGCCATGATACGTCATGATAGTTCCATAAACTGACATGAAGAGTGCGGACGCACCGCACTTAACAGACTGTTGTGACTCAGGATGCACGCAGGATTCTGCACACTGAGCTTTCAGTTTGCTTTGTTGAATAGATATTATCTCTGGCTATGAGGAGTGAGGCTGTGGATGTTGAGTGAACAATGTGTGGATTCTACTTCACAGTATAGATCTTAAGGGTTCCCATGATACCTTCTGCTCAAAATCCACTATTCTGTATCTCTAGGATTGTCTTTAACAGTTTTTCTTTTCAAGCATCTACATTATTTATCTTTCCAGGGCTAAAGTTCAACATTCTGCAAATTGACACTAAATGAGTGTAGTTTGAATCTAGAATGTACCAGACTGTTGAATCCCAGGATATCCTTGAATCTTATCCAGCCACTCTACCATATAATGAACTATCAATTGCAGCAAGAATGCTAAAAGAATCTTTCAAAAATAAAGAACTCAGTGGGAAGACATCAAAGGGTTAGGTGTCCATCTCACCTGGTGTCGTCCCACTCTGGGCTGAGACCGGTCAAAGAGCCGCGGGACTCTGAGACAAACTTGTACACTACCAGCAGGCAGTCTCGGCACAGCTGGACTAAGCGGCGGCAGCATTGTAGCTCCTGGGGTGACACCACCTCGCTGCTCTTACTGAAGATCGTCTCCCATGATGAGCTGGAGAGCAAATGACAAAGCAAGTATACAAACACATACTCAAAGAGTCAAGTTAAATTGTTATTAATGGATTAGCAAAACAGTGTATTCACCAATATACATAAGTATACTGTCTATGTCTAAGTCTATGTCATAAAACTATGCCACATGCAGTCTAATGTGTGGCCCTTCACTGTACACGTGTGTATTCATTTGCATACACAGCCATACAGGAACATAGAAGGACATACACAGAGGAAGGATGAAAGAAATCCAAGTACAGTTAACCCCCTTTACAACCCTGGACATACCCCTAACTGTGAGAGAGCTTCAACAACTGAGACACACAACCCCGGGGGGTGCGTTTGATGTCTACCCCCTTTTTCTCCTTGGGAGGTAATTCCTCTGAAAGGGTTCAAAACTGTGTGTTTCCATTCTCTTCCCTAAGTCGTTTTCAAAGCTTGGAGAATTCATTGCCCACAATAGCTGCCAGGCCTTTGATTGTTGTTAAGTCCCTTAGATAAAGTATCAAACAAGAGACACGGTAGTGTGGGGCTCTGCGCTTAGATTTGAAGTGTGCTTTCGATGTACACCACTTCGCTGTCACCACGTGACATGCCCCATGTTGCATTCATCCATGTTGTGGCCTTAACTAGCTGTAGGGAGGTGCCAGACGAGGGGCTAGGAAGCTAGCTGGATCATCAAGGGCGGGCTGTGATGAGACAAAGGCTGCATGGGGTGCAGTGTGCTGGGGCTAGCTAAGGCTAGGCTAGAATAATCCTCCTGGGCCCTTCCACCCAGTTTTTCTTTACTGTCTTTACAATGTCTGATTTTCCTGTTACTCATCTCTATTGCCTGCTCACTTCCTCACTCTCCCTCAATTACGACCACCAAGAAAATGGAGAGCTGTGGGCAGTGACTTCACTCACTGCACAACTGAACTCTAAAGAATATGGAGAGAAGGTCGCACCTTTAGCGCAGATGAGCTGAAAAGCCCCCAGCACAGCAGCTGTCTGCATGTTTGTGTCTGTTTGAGGAAGCTAATGTATGTGTTTGATGAAATAACTGTGTGGAAACCAACTTGATGTATCTGAAGACGTCTTGCTGCATGTAAGTGTGTGTGAGCCACTGATGGGAAACTGTTTTGCCAGTTTCTGTCTTGTCTACTGCTTGGGGTTTCTTGAGGGATATGATCAAGTGAGCTGTCACTGCAGTGACTCATTTCGTAGGAAACCACTTTCTGTCACATCAGAAAAAAAAATAATAAAAAAGGAGCCACATGAAAACTTCAAAGTATCAGAAAACAAACCAAATAAAAGAACTAAGACGCCTTCTTTCACCTTCTTCCTGCTTCCATCCCTCCCTTCTCTTTTTCATGCTCCCACCCCTGAAAAAGCCCTGATTAACAGCCCAGATTTGTGACCCTAATTTGCACCCTGTCTCCACAGAGTAACATGTTTCTTTCATCACCAAGAGCTTTCAGAAAAGTGCATCGGGGTCTGTTGGGCTGTCACTCATGCTCTGTCATTCAGTTGGCGTTGCTTCCCCATTCATACTGAATAAAAATTGGAAGTTGTCCCCGCTGTCACTGAAACTGGCACATTGACGGAACACTGGTGTGTGAACTTTTAGTTATGGAGATGAAAGAGTGGCTTTATGTAATGAATAGTGGTAATTAGACTGCAGTTTGATTACGTGTTTGTGTTGATTCAGAAGAATTAGTTTCCATGAATATCTGAAGCTCATTCAGGGAAATTCAGTTTCTTGTGGTACTCAGGGTAATTTTTCAATGCCTCTTTTTATTATATTTTAAATGTATTATTTATTTTGTTCTTGGTTTAAGTAGTCAGTTACAGAAAAAGTCTAACTTACATTATTATGCCTCATATTTTTTTATTCAAAGGTGCTAGATGGGTCTTTCATTTGCTGTAATTGTTTTTCAGTTTTTCTGAATCTGATGATTTCTTGTAGACAGAGGTTTTGACACCCCACAGTTAATAACATCCACTGAAAAATGCATTTCGAAAAAAAAAAAAACCCAGGAAATATTGGCAGTTACTATATTTTCTTTATCTCTATTTTAGCACAGCTTTGTGTCACAATGCTTGTTGGATTGTTGAATAGCATCTGAACCCCCTAGTCACACACTTTCCTGACTTGGAATTGGAAAGGACTGCATGTCATCATTTTTGTAACTTTCCGGCCATAACTCGTCACGTGTGAAGTTGAAAAAGTCGGCACTTCTTTCTCTTTTTATCATTCTGTATTCTGTCACTATTCCTGTTTACAACCAAGTGCAATAACATAAATACCTCAAAGGAGAGACAAAGTGTGCTCCGCTGTCCCCGTTTCTACAATCCATCATATTTTGCTGGATTACGACGTGGTTGAACAACACTTTTCAGCAAACCCTAGCCATTACATCATCCTCAGTCATGCCACAGCCCTTCCCAAAATGGCCTACCCAGTGTTGGAGAAGCAGTTCCACAGGCCCTGTCCGTGACTCCAAAGCAGCCGATTGAAGACGCGGTTAAAGAGTCGGTAGAGGTGGAGGCTGTCTATGTCTGGCTCCCTCCAGATCCGCTGCAGCGCCGACCGTATGTTGGTGCGTACGATGTCCAACACCTGAGTGAAAGACAAAGTGAGGGGAAGATGGGGAACAACAAAAAAACAGAGGTTTAAATCGAGCCTGCGAAAATAAGAAATGAATAATAATGAAGAAAGATGACATTTCAAATTATAAGTTTTATTTTTCATCTTAACTTAAAACTAGTGGTTACAAGATGAATGCCTTCATTCAGTAACAGTAATCATGAAATCTGCTTTAATCAGCTCAAAGATTGTGAAGATCTGAGCAGGTTTATCTCTGCATTCATGCATTTACAGAAACACAGCCTAGTTTGTGTATGTGTGTGTAACATAGGCAGGGCGAAAAGTGCTGGAGCAGAGAGAGGAGAGCATGGGAGAGAGGACTAATTGCTGCACCAACGTCACTCTTGGAGAGACGGTGTCACAAGTTTCCCGGGCAGTCTGAGGACACCTGTGCCATCCCTCCATCTTCCCTGTTTTGCTTTCCCGTCCCTCCCCACCTCACTGTCTTCTCTTCCCCCCCTTTTCTCCTCTTTTCATGGCGCTCAGAGTGCAGTGCTGTGGCTCTTTTGACTTTGATTCCTCGCGCCTCATTACTGACAGGCCTGTCTGACTGGGTGTTTGCGATGCGAAGAGGCAAGATTTCCCTA